TTCCAGCATTGTTCCCAGCACATAAGTTACCCCTCTACCCAACAGTAGTCTTACACCTTTCCCAGTCCTGCAGCAGCTTAGAGCCATTTCCCATTTTAATGACAGGAACAGTCTCCCAGCTTGTTGAATCCCAACGAGAGATCCACGCAGCAAAATGGAGCAGGCTGCTTCCAGCAAAGACCAGAGGCAGCAGCGCTCTGCTCCCTGGGTCTCCCCGCAGAGCCCTGTGGCCAGTGCCAGCTGCCCTGGTTTCTCTCAGAGCGGGGGCACCCCCCTGAATTTGCGGATGATGTTAGCCAGCCGCTTGGCCAGCCCACCCCGGGTTGGTTCTTCCACGTGAAACGTCCTGGTCAGCAGGTTGTAGAAGGAGCCGTAGCACACTGCCACCACGGTGCAGGTCAGGCAGATGACATTATAGGGCATGCTGAAGTCTGGCGTTGGCAAGTTCACCAGCAGTGGCTCCGTGTAGAGGCGCACAAAATAGCTGGAGCCATCAGAGGAAGGAAACCTTGAGAGTGGAAACAGGAAAGGGGGCGTCAGCCCGCACAGGACCGCCACTCTGTGCTCACCAGACAGGATAACAGTGGCCAGTAGCCCCCAGGGGCTGCGGCACGGCCCCACTCCCCAGCACAGGCACACTCACAGCGAGGTGAAGAGAGGGCTCTGCTCCACATCCACGTCCTTCATCGCAATGACGCTGGGCACCAGGGCGCTAAGCACAGATGAGCTAAGGAGACAAAGGACATGCTAGTGTCAGTCCTGCCAGCAGAGAGACAGCAAGAGTTTTTCCTGTCCCCAGAGACCTGGGCAGCAACTCCTAGGCAAGACACAGAAGGGGATGAGGAGCTCAGGTATGTTGTTACCTGACGTAAAAGCCATGATTGGGGTCAGGTGTGTACTCTGTCCACTTCAGTAAGGCCCTCTCAAACTGGATTGTGATCTTGGTGATGGAGTTGGCTGGCAGCTGGATCAGCATTTCTAAGAGGTGAGGGCGTCTCCGGTCCTGGGCTGGCTGGTAGTGGATGTAACCTAACCCCAAAGAGACACATCAGTGGCACCGGGGGACCTTGTCCAATCTCACATTGCCTAAACGTCTCCCATAGGGCAGGTGCTCTTGCTTCCACACTCCTGGGAAAGGTTTTCTGGGCAAGTGAAGATGCACAGATAGCAAAAAGCATGTATTAAGGCTAAATCTGACTGGTCTTTAGAGGTGATAGCCCATGAAAGTCAGGTGGTCATAAGGAAAGGTACAAATGCTAAATAAGACCCAGTCATCAGTTTTAAATCAAGCCTCCTTTACTACAAAAATCAGTTCACTTTGGTTTAGACCCTTGTTGGGTTATGAACCACCCATGTGCCTCATAAAACAGAGTTAATAAAGTCTCATCTGCTGTAAGCGCTAAACTGAAGGCTACGAAAACATCCTAAAATATTTTGTTTTGCAGTCCAGTTACCCGGTGATCCCTGGGGCCTGAGGGAGAGACTAAACCATCTCTGGAATGAGCCGCTTGTGCCAAGAGAATCGGGTGGCATGTGCGGCCAGGAGGGTTTACTCACTTGGCTTGTTTTCCTTCCCCTTTGTGATGATAGTCAGAGTGTGCACATAGAGTCGCAGATACCATGGCACAGTCTCCAGCAGGATCACGGGGAAGGCCCGGTACGGGTGGGTGTTGTAGATGAGAGTGCTGATCTCTCCAGTCTGCAGCCCGTATCCACTCACGTAGCGCTGAGCATGGAGTACGGGTGTCGGCAGTTCCGCTGCAAGAAAGGAAAGGATACAGGAGTGGTGGGCCGTGCCAGGTGATTTTTAGGCCTGGAGCCCTGACCAGTGGTGCAGGCGAAGTTCTGGTCACTCACAGCTGTCTTGGGGCCGCTTCCACTTCAGCTGCACATTAAGGCTGCGAGATGTATTGAAGAGCGAGGGGCTCAGCAGGTCATAGACAGCGTAGGTTCTCTTGTCTCCCTGGACAATAGCCTCGTATACAGATGCTGGAGTGGGGGTCACTTCCAGTAACTCCTTTTCCTGAGAAAGCAAATAGACCATAAAAAGAAAAGCACCCCCTGAATTAAGTGGCAGTGCTGGGCAAAGCCCCTCTGGCTGGCCCTGTGCTTTCTGCCTGCAACGGCCAGCTCAGCACCCTTACCAACACCACCACACTCATCCCCACAGACCTGCTCAGGCGAGGGAGGGAAACCAGCTCCCTTCATTAGTGCTGGAGAGCTCCTGGAGCATCTGGCCAGCCACAGGGTGGAGATGAGGATGTTTCAGAGCCACACAAAGTGGCTGAACTGAGGGAGCAGGGGATGTTCTCTGGTCCATGAGCATTACCTTGTTCTTAGGGGAGATGTCGACATAGACTTTGCTCTGTGATGCCAGAGGACACGCGTCAGTAAGTGTGCGAGAGAACATCTTAAAGAGGGACCAGTCTGCAGGAAGAAAAGTCAGTGGCAGGTGAAGTGCTGCAGGTGGGGGGCACTTGAGGACTACAGTGCACTGCTGCTGAGCTTACCTTTCTTTCCTTGGCCACTGGAAAAGGTGTCAAAGACCACAGTGAGGGTCTGTCTGAGCTCCCAGGACACAGCCAGGCAGGAAGCATCCTGGACAAGAGAGAAACGAGTGGCTCTGATCACACCTTCTGGAGTGGCAGGACATCAGGATAGAACTGGAAGTCCACCAGGACTGCAAAAATCCCCTGGGGACGCAGGTAAGACCAGAGAAGCAGGATGACAGCTGTGTTAAGGCAAACTGGTGTGTCACCCTGCAGTGTCACAGGAAGGCTTTGGATTTTCTCTTGGAGGTGTTAAAGAAGGGAGCCCTGAGCCACGTGCTTACCCTGCAGATGGGGCGGATGTGCACTGCCTGCGAATGGTAGCTGCTGTGGAACAAGCGCTCGGCCTTCAGCAGCACAGCAAGCCCAGCCTGTAGGGAGAGAAGGAGAAACTCTGCCCCAGGCCTGTTCTCTGATCCCACTGAGAGAAAGACCCTGCTGAGACTTCCCAGTGCACGCTCCTGCATTGCTGTTGGGGACCCAGCTCCCTCGGGAGTGGCCCAACGAGGCAGCAGGACTGACCCTTACCTTTGAGCCACATGGGAGCAGCTTCTTCCAAGGTGTGAGGTTCTCTGTGCAGACGACCTCCCGGGGCAGGACAGCATATCGCAGGAGATGGTGATCTGTCCCTGGGCAGGGAGGTGAGGGGTCAACAGGCTGGTACTTCTACAGGCATGAGAGCAAAGCAGACCTGTTCCACCCCACAGCATACCCCACAGCCCACCACCCTCTCAATATCCCTGAAATGCCAAGAGCTCAATCAGGAATAGATCCCTCTTCAGGATGATTTGGAAAGTATAGGTAAGAGTATATTCTAGCAGATTTTTTTCATGAGTGCCTCAAACCCTCCAGTGCTCACTGTTTTGTAAAATGCTTCTCAGTGAGACAGATGAGGGCTTGGGAGCATCTGTCAGGTACTGCTTGTGGGTTTTCTCTGTTCAAATCCAAGCCTCTTTTGTAGATAGAGGAAATGTTTCCAGGAGGAGGTAACAGACCCTGCTGTACACACTCAAACCCAAAGTTGCTGCAGGACCTGTGTCTGGACTGCCTGTGGTGGTACAGGGTGGAACCAAAGCTAGAGGCAAGAGTGAGAGAGCAGAGCCAGGCAGCCAAGTGCAGGCCGGGCTCACCGTTGGCTAAGCCCAGGGGCTTGAAGGACGCCGTTGGAGTGACTGTGTTGGTTGAGTCAATGAAGTTGAGAGAAGCACAGAATATTCCTGAGAGGATGTTACTCAGTTCTTTCCAGGCTTTGTCAACACTGTGTGAGAACAGATAACAGAAATTACTCAGCAGCTTGAATCCTCGGAACTTTGAATGTTACAAAGTTGGTAACATTCAATAAATACACTGGGATGACCACGCTGGCTTTCAGAGGCTGCAAGGAGTGGACATGCAGAGGCTGCTGGTCATTGCACTCTCCAGCTCTCTTGGTATTTTATTCTAATGTGTGAGGTCTGGGGGACATTCACTGCAGGGGCAGCCCCAGGGCTGGCAGGGCTTCACACAGCCAGGGACCCGGTGGTGGGTGCAGCTGGTATGCGAGGAGGCAGGCTGAGGGAACAGGGAGCATGCGGGAGGTGGTGTGCAGTATATGGGGAAGGGGCTGTGAGACCTAAAGCAACACCCTGGTGCAGCACTGAAGGCTGACCCAACCTGCAGACCTGGAATGGGCCACTTGTAGGGAGGAGAGAGCTCTGTGAGTCCATGCAGAGCTGCTGCAGCTCAAACAGGAGCTGTGAGCCAAGGGAGACGGTGACAGATATTGGATGGGAGTCAAAGGAAGTGAGTCATGGATGAGAGATAAAGATATAACCCTATTGTATTAATGCAGCAAGGGGTTTGTCATCACAGAGCCCAAAAGGGAATTACTTGTTCCTGAACAAGGGTTTGCCCTCAGCACCACATCCTGCCCTGTGCACTGAGTGGGCTGTTGTGCTTTTCCTTAGAGCTGCTCCTGGGGTTGTGGGCTCTTTACTCTGGGGGACACTTTCCAACCCAGGAGGCCTCTACACACACCATGGCTGCCTTGTGTGAGAAGGGCAACAGCTCCCGGGAGTGGTGGCCACAGAGAGGACCCAGAGGGACAAACCCACGGCCAGGGTACCTACTCCATGACAGTGGGCTGGAACCAGACCCAGAGCTCTGCGCCAGCAGGTGCCTGGAGGGGCGGCTGCCCCCAGGTCCGGGTGCGCCAGAAGCCCTGGGTGAGGGCGAGGTGGAGCTCCTGCACGCCCAGCGCCGCCACCAGCCGCCCCAGCGCCTTCGGGAAGAGCCTGTAGTGAGACACTGCGGGCAGCGTTAGCCCCTGCCTCCCGCCATCACACCAGGGCCTGGCCCAGCACGGCCTGGGCATCCCCGGCGCTGCTCCACCCGCC